CAGGGTGCAGGCAGCTGGGGGAGGGGGGAGCGGAGGGTGCAGGCACCGGGGGTGGGCGCCGTCCTCACCCTGGGAGACCACGGAGCCGTACTTCTCCAGCATCGCGTCCCAATACAGCTCCTTCTGCGACGGGTCCAGCAGCCCCCACTCCTCCTGCCCCGAGTTGGCCATCACTGCGAGGCCTCCATCCGCCCCCGCCCCATCAGCCTCAGATGACTCCGAGATGGGGTGTGAGGGCTGGGAAGCCGGGCAGGGAGGGAGCGGCCCCACCCCCACTTCTGACCGGACAGACGGAGCTCAGGACCCCTGGGCTGTGGGGGAGGCAGGGACAGGCCAGCCCGCTCCACCCTGTGCCTTGAGCATGTGTGTCCCCCACAGAAAACCAGGGGACTCCGGACACCTCTCCCCCTGGAGACCCTCCTCGGGACAGCTGTGCAGGGTCACGGAAACCGGATGTGGGCGCCTGGCTGAGGGGGGCTCAGACAGAAGGTGCAGTCGCACCCCTGGGAGCCGTGATGTTGGTGCAGGTGACGTGCATGGGCGGGGCGATGGGCTGTGTCCTCTGTGTGCACAGGGGAGCACTTTGGGGCTCCCCCCCCCCGCACTCCTGGCCCATGGGGTGTCCCCTCATCAGCTCCCAGAGTCCCATCGCTGGGAGGGGCTTTGCTGGGCTGGGAAAAATAGTGGTGACAGGGCAGGCCGCAGCCACAGGGAGCCTCAGCCGCAGCGGGGACGGTGCTGGCTGGAGGTGAGGACTTGAACTCTGCCTCTGCCACCCCCTCGCTTTCCTATGGCGCCATCCGGCGTGGAGGGAGCTTCCAAGCTCATCTGAGCTGGTCCTTCCACTGCACGTGGAGGGGAGCGGCTGAGGAGCAAGTTGCGGGGGGGGGGGGCTGCCCACACTCAGAGCAAACACTCCAGGCAGCAGGGCCCCCTGAGCCCCCACACCCGGCGGAGGGAGGGGCTGCGGGCAGTTCCCAGGGGGAACCTCCCACTGGCCTCCGAGGGGCCGGGAGGCCGGGCTGTCCCTCCCCCCTGCACCCGAGGGTGCAAATCCCCGGGGGCCCCAACCCCCCACTGACTGCTCGGTGAGGAGGCCAGCCCCGAACGCTTCCCATCACTCTGAGCTACGTTTCTAAAACCCGCCCAACTGCAGAGACACCAGTCTGTCCCTCTGTCCTGCAGGGAGATCTGATCCCGACTCCAATCTGGGCAGCAAAGAGCCCACCATGGCTGGCCAAGGAGCCTGGAAAACCGGGCTGCTCACCTGCATCCTGGGCGGGTGGAAGGAGGCCGCGTCCGGTTCCCCAGGTCCAACTGGCCCCTCTTGGGACTGGACCGGATTTGGGGGGCTGGCGGAGGCTAGGAAGTGAGGCCGATGGGGGTCAGGGCTGCCCCCTGAGCTGCAGCAGTCGCCCTGCCTCTCGGGGTCCCGGCTCTGCAGCCCTCGGGGTCCCCACCCAGCTGTGGCTGCCCACACTCCCGCCAGGAGCCCCCACGCTCACCCATCTCCTGCGCCTCGGCCTCAGGCTCCTTCTTCACACAGCAGCCCCCGAGCTGGGCACCCTCCGGCCCCTCCCCAGCGGCTGCCCCGAGGGGCTGCCCTCGCTCTGAGGAGCGGAGACTCGCCAGGGAGTCCTCTGCCTTCTGTGCCGCCGGGGGCACCGCCCGCTTCAGGACCTGGGCTGTGATCTGAGGGGAGAGGCCGGTCACCGGGGGCTCCCGTCTCCCTCCGTCTGTCTGT